AAAAAAAAGTTTTTTTCTTAAAAATAAAAAGTTTTCTTCAAAAAATATATCGCAACACTGTTTGAATTTAAAGTATTTATAATATTTATTGAGTTCATAGCGTTTGAATTATAGAGCGAGACTTATCAATTTCCAGTATTCACAATATAAGCAGGTAATTACCACCCTAATCGGTTTTCCAAAACGTCCTTCTATTCGAATAGTTCCTTGATTTATTAAATTTCCATAATTAGAGTTATTATTATTATCTGGTGTTAAATCGAAAGATAGTAAAAAAATATCCGTTATCAATCCGTTGTTATTTGATGAAGCCGTTTGGTATTAAAAATCTGCAAAATCGGTTCACAACGTAAAAAGTTATGAGTAAAAATTTCAGACTACCTCGAAATAAATTAAGTTTTTTCATAATTCTTTTGAAGTTTTCTCAGAAACTACCAAAGATATTTCGATGAATTTTGTCACACATTATTTTTGCATGGCAGTGATCAATTATGTTGAAAATCTTTAGAATCGATTTAATATTTCCCATAGCCCCCATACAAAGGTATATATTCAAGGAAATTAGTTTATCGTTAATAACTCCCTCAAATATATCGGTATCAACACAAAATTGTGTACATGCAAATATAATATGAACAGAAATCATACTGTCAACGTAGATCTCAGTCGGTCCACAATTGGCCATAGCTCCCATACAAGGTCCACTTCCGAAAATCACCTAAACGCACATATTTCATTGATGAATTAAGCTGTTGTGATAAACTTCGAGTTAAATATGTTTTGTGTACATACAAATCATTCTACCAAATTTTTTACGGATCGGTCCATTATTGGTCATAGCTCCCATATAAGGCCCATAGAATAATAAAGCTATCTGGATAAAGTACGACTTGAATATGCTTTGTGAGCATATAAATCATTCTACCAAATTTTTTCCGGATTGTTCCATATATGGTAATAGCTCCTTCAAAAAAATCACTTAAACGCACATATTTCATTATCAAATAAAGATATCTTGATAAAATTCTACACAAATATGTTTTGTGTAGTAAGGACATAGCTCCTATACATACAAAGTCCACTTCCGAAAATCACCTAAACGCACATATTTCATTAATTAATAAATCTATTGTAGTAAAATTCGACTTGAATTTTTTGGCATATAAATCATTATACAAAATTTTTTCCTTATCGGTTGATAATTGGTCACAACTCCCATATAAGGACCATTTCCGAAAATTGCTCAAATGCACTCGGTTGATAATTGGTCACAACTTCCATATAAGGACCATTTACGAAAATTACTCAAATGCACATTAACAATCAAAGTTATCGGGATAAAATTCGACATAAATGCGTATTTTGTATATATAAATCATTCTACGGATTTTTTCTTCCGGATCGGTCCATAGGTTGTCTTAGCTCCCATTCGTAATTAAATGTTTATATCCGGATAAAATTCAAAATGAGTATGTTCTGTGTACAGATAAATCATTATATTAAAATATTTTTAAACTGGCCTATTAATATACATTTTTCTCGACCTAATTAAAATTAGTTTGACATATACATAAATGTTAGTACCCTCAATAAGGAAACAAAAATTTTGCCAAGATATCTAAAAATTAGATAGTTAAATGGGTTTCAATAAAAAGTAGCTTGCTGGAGGAGGGTATTTAAGATTCGGCATAGCCGAATATAGCACTCTAACTTGTTATACCCTCCACCACCATCAGTGCTGATAGAGGGTATATATAACTTTGTCATTCCGTGTGTAACACCAAGAAATATTCATCTGAGACCCAACAAAGTATATATATTCTCTGAGTCGATTTAGCTATGTCCGTCTGTCCGTCCATCCGTCTGTCTGTCTGTCTGTATAAAAGATTCTCACGTTACCACAAAGCAACAAAAATTAACGAAATTCACCGAAAATATTTACTATTTTCCTAGACAGTTTGGTATTGAAAAAAAGCAAAATCGGTTCACACCGGGAAAAGTTATGAATCAAAATTTGAAACAACCTCGAAAAAAAAAAGCATTTTTTACACATTCTGATGTAATTTTCTCGAAAACTTTGCAAGATAATTCCATGAAAATCACCATACATTCGTTTCTACACAAGGGCCTGAGTCCTGCTGAAAATTGCCAGATTCGGTCAACAATTTCATATACCTCCCATACAAAAGTACATATTCCCGGAAAATGGGTTTTCTGTTAATAACTTCCGTCACAATATCGAAATCTTTACAAATTAAAATCTTATGTGAATAGAATTCATTCAGAGAAAAAATTTTCTGGATCGGTCCATAATTGGATATAGCTCCCATACAAGGTCCCCTCCCGAAAATAACTTAAACGCAAATAACTCATTACTAAATTAAGACATCCATATAAAATTTGGTACAAGTATTGCTCTCACATACAGAAATATTACTGTGAAATTTTTGTTCCATCGATCCATAATTGGTCATAGCTCCCATACAAGGTCCCCTCCCGAAAATCACTTAAACGCGCATAACTCATTACTAAATTAAGATATCCTTATAATATTTGGTAGAGGTATTGCTCATATGCACAGAAATATTGTTGTGAATTTTTTTTCCGATCGGTCCATAATTGGTCATAGCTCCCATACAAGGTCCCCTCCCGAAAATCACTTAAACGCGCATAACTCACTACTAAATTAAGATATCCATATAAAATTTGGTACTAGTATTACTCATATGCACAGAAATATTACATTGAAATTTTTCTCCGAGCGGTCTATAATTGGTCATAGCTCCCATACATACAAAATTAAGATATCCACATAAAATTTGGTACAAGTATTGCTCATATGCACGAAAATATTACTGTGAAATTTTTCTCCAAGCGGTCCTTAATTGGTCATAGCTCCCATACAAGGTCCCCTCTCGAAAATCACTTAAACGTACATAACTCATTACAAAATTAAGATATCCACATATGCACGAAAATATTACTTTGAATTTTTTTCCGATCGGTTCATAATTGGTTATAGCTCCCATACAAGGTCCCCTTCCGAAAATCACTTAAACGCATATAACTAATTACTAAATTAAGATATTTATATAAAGTTTAGCACAAGCATTGCTCATATACAGACAAAAATTACTGTGAATTTGTTTTCCTATCGGTCCATAATTGATCATAGCTCCCAAGGTCCCTTTCAGAAAAACACTTAAATGCACATAACTATTATCAAATAGTGATACCCATAAAACATTTGGCATAAATACTATTTTTGTACACAGAATGTTATTTGAGCATTTTTTCATGATCGGTCCGACTTTGGTCATAGCTCCCATACAAGGTTCCCTCCCGAAAATCACTTAAACGCACATAACTCATTACAAAATATTGATATCCATACATTTAGCAAAAATATTGCTCTTATATATATAAATTAAACTATAAAATTGTTTTACGATCGGTCCATATTTGGTCATAGCTCTTATACTAGGTCCCCTCCAGAAAATCACTTAAATGCACAATATTCATTACCAAATAATGATATAGATACAGAATTTTGAAATTTTGTCTTTATATACATAATTGGTCATAGCTCCCATACAAGGTCTTTTTACGAAAATCTCTTAAACGCACATTACTCATTACCAAATAAAGCTATTGATAAAAAATTTGGCACAAATATTAATTTTGTATACAAAAATTCTATTTCAAGATTTTTTCACGATCGGTTCATAACATAGGTGCGGTCGGTCCCATACAAGTTTCTCTTCAGAAAATCACTTAAACACACATTACTTATTACTAAATTACGATATAGATACAACATTTGAATGAAATATAGCTTTTATGAACAGAAATTTTGCTTAAAGAATTTTTTACGATCGGTCTATAATTGGTCATATCTCCCATACTATGTCCTGCCCCTAAAAGCGCTTTAACCGTATTTAACTAGTTGCATTATCAATTTGTGTAGAACAAAATTATATATATTTATTTTCAAAATCCTTAAATCTTTTACACACATGCATACATGCAAATTACTAAATATCGCTAAGCGCTATAAAAATATAAAGAAAATGGTGTTTGTAATGTTCAATAAATCATGGAATTGTAATAGATTTAAGCTGTTTAAATCTTTGTATTTTTTCTATTCAAGACATGAGAAAACTTATTTCTACAAATATTTGATCAATTAGAAAAGTATTAATATATGTATAAGTAGCTGGTGGAGGGTACTTAAGATTCGGCTCAGCCGAATATAGCACTCTGACTTGTTTTTTAAATAATTTAATCCTGTCCTCAAGAATGGTTTCAGGTGTGAGAAGAGAGATGAAAACAGTGATCTAATACCACGCCCATATTGTACATTTCATGGTGTATGATATATTTCACCAATATTTTAATTTGTATACAACACATCCATGGTTATATTAAAATGGTTTATCTGTTAAGTGTATACCCAGTAAACAATTTTTTCAGACATGTCTGATGTCAGAAATTTTCTGAAATAATTCTTATACTTATCAGAATTTTTATCGAATTTCTAAATTTCCTTTAGACATTTTACAGAATAATCGGAAAACTTTTTGTTAGACTTTTCTGCACATTTTCTGATGTATTAAACGCAAGGTTGGCAACCGTTATCGCTAAGCTATCGTTACCGCTAAAATACCTTTTCAGCACAACTACCGTTACCGCTAAAATACCGATACCGAAATAAGCCAAAATACCGATAACGCTAAAATATCAATACCGAAATAAGTTAAAATACCGATAACGCTAAAATACCAATACCGAAATATGCCAAAATACCGATAACGCTAAAATATCAATACCGATATTTTATTAAAATAAACTAAAATTTCCAAAAAGTACAAAACTCTTCACTTTATTAATATTGTTAACATCACTGGCGTTTTTTATTTCTTTCTCAAACATTGGCAACCTTATTTTTCGTTTTGTTTTCTTGTTCACTTTTCTTCTTTACCAAAATTGTCATTATATTGAGACAATAATGGTCATGTAAAAAATGAATGCAAGACAGATGATCATTTCGTTTTCAAAATATGAGTTTTTTAGTATACAGTAAATGTCAAACTCCATACAAACACACTGACAGAAAAATATAAAACTGTTACCATATTAATTCGCTTAAGAATGAGAGCAAACAATATAAATAACTGTTTTTTGTGTCAAAAAAACATATATTTTTTATTTGCAATTTAAAATTTGAAAGAAACGAAACAGCAACATAAATAAATTAGAAATAAAAGAAACTTGTCAGATTTGCGTTCAAATAATTATAAAAAGTGTAAAATGCCTCGTCAAAAAAGTTTTTTATACAGAAAATTTTTTAGAGTTGAAGCCAACACCAATTACAACAAGTGCACAATAATAGAAAATGAACGTGTTTGTGGGAAAATCTTAAGGGTAATTATTTAAGACATTGGACAAAATTCTGTTCGGTATAAGAACACTTGAGGGGTGAGGAAACAAAGGTAGCAATCGCCACCATGGTATTTTTCAAATTGAATAAGCGAAAACAGTATTTTTAAAGATAGTTTTTAATTTATATTTCAGTTTTTCTGCATATTTAGCATAATGGAATTAGAAGAAGATCTAAACAAGTTTGAAACTAATTCACATAGAAGTTTGTTGGCAAATAGGATCCAAAGTTTTTAGGAAAGGTCTTAAATGAAATAGATATTGCTGCCTTAGTTTCTACAACCCTCACTGAATGTTTTGATATCGACACAGGTTAAATTTTAAACTATAATATAGATTATATATACATATATGTATATACATATTTATACTATAGACTAGACTACAGACTAGACTAGACTATAAACTAGACTATAGAGTAGACTATAGACTAGACTATAGACTAAACTATAGACTAGACTATAGACTAGACTATAGACTAGACTATAGACTAGACTATAGACTAGACTATAGACTAGACTATAGACTAGACTATAGACTAGACTATAGACTAGACTATAGACTAGACTATAGACTAGACTATAGACTAGACTAGACTATAGACTAGACTATATACTAGACTATAGACTAGACTATCGACCAGACTATATCCTATATTATAGATTAGACTATATACTAGACTATCGACCAGAATATAGACTAGACTAGACTATAGACTATGTTATAGATTACACTATATACTAGACTATCGACCAGACAATAGACTGATATAGACTGGAATATAAAATAAGCCTTAGGCTAGACTATAACTAAAGTCTTGTCTATAGACTAGATGATAGACTAGACTAGGCTCTTAACTAGACTACAAACTAGAATATATTCTAGGGGAATAGAGTATATGCCTTTATTCTAGGCTATAGTCTAATCTATAATCTGGCCTATTTTATAGTCCAGTCTATACATCGTTAGTCTTTATCTGTTTATTACGAGTGTCGACAATTAAATTTCTAGTAAAGAATTTTAATTAACCTTTGTATAAAATTATCGTTTATTTATTGTATTATATTTTTTATAGAGTGACCACGGATCGAACTTAGCGAGTCATATAAAATCCGTCCACAAAAGTACTTGGGCCAAAATAGAAAAAAATTCTATAACAGAACCAGAGAATCAACCCTCAACTTCGAACAGATCTGTTGCAAACATGCTCCAGACTAAAATAGCCATTAATATTAACAAAGAAGTTTTACTTAAATCCTGTGTAGAGCTCTGTTCTGTGAATGGAAGACCATTTTCTATTGTGGAGGACTCAGGATTTCGTAGCATTGTAGACCCAATTATACAAAAATTAGATATGACTTTGAATCGTCGGGTCGTTAAAGATCAAGTACTTCGGAAATTCGATGGTATTGTAAATACAATTTCTAATGAGATTAGTGGCAAATTACTATCTCTTAAAATTGATGGCCTCACACATTTGAATAGAGCATTTCTCGGTTAGTATTTCTAAATTATATATACTAAGACTCTGATTTGCGTCGTTTTTAACTTTTTTCGATTCTATTTTGACTGTTAAAATTTCGATTTGCACTGTAATAATTTTATTATCGTCGTAGCACGAAATTTACTTTTGTTTTGAAATAAACATTTATTTATTAATTTTTGTTATTTTGAGCACAATTTAGTCCAAATTTATTAAATATGTTCGAATTGCGTTCCTATCTATGACATATATCGGGGTCTTAGAAAACATTTTAAAACTCATGTACACAAAGCTGAATTGTTTGTTATGTTAAGGTATCAATGTGCAGTATATTAAGAATAAAAAATTGTTCTTCGGACTTTAGCTGTGGCAGAATTATTCGAACGCCACACAGCTGAATATCTCAAAGACGTTATTTTAACCACCCTCAAGAAATACAAGATATCAGCAGACCAAATTTATACATGCACCACCGACAACGGTCGGAATATGCTTAAATGTGTTTCGCTAATAAACGAAAATGTAACCGAATTAGAAGACGAGGTGATAAATGAAGAATTTGATGACACTTTGAATGATTTTAAATTAAATACAAGATGTATAGGTAAGTTTTTTTGTTCATGAAATCTATTGTTGAAGCTATGAATTATTTTTTATCTACAAAACATTTTTTATTTGAAAATAAAACTTTAACCACTCTACTTTCAATCGAACCCGAACTTCGGCAAATTTAAAAGTTCGGCCAAACTATTTTCGGTTTTTGAAGTTCAGTGAACCCGAACTTTATGTTATTTAATGAAAAATATGCATTTATGATTAAAAAGTAACAAATATGTAACATTCAAAAACAAGTTGCCATCAAAATATTAACATAGGAGAGATTTTTTGAAATCGGTCTTTAATTGGGTTTGAATAAATTAGGGATTGAAATTTTCAGAACGTTCAAATGTGGACCGATTTTCACAATTTTCAATACCAATAAAATATTTAAACATAAATTTTCTTTAATTTTTTGTAAAATAAAATTCCCTTTTTTTTAAACATCGTTTTATAATAAAAAAAACTAGGATTAAATGCTTAATTTTAAAGTTAAAACTCAAATTAAATATAGCTAATTTTTATTAAAGATTGGGCTTTCATAAAATAATTATTTTGTTTCAGTATAAGAAAACAAATTTTGTATGAAAATTTTGTTTTATAAACCTTTTATAAAATAAAAGTTTGATTATGAATTGGGGGTTATAATCGAAACTACATACATAATTCTATATTTTTTTTAGTTAAATGAAATTTTTAGTATCTTAAAAGATATTGAAGTATTTAAAATGTTTGACTTTTCTTAGCTTTTAATAGTATCTTAGCTAAAAATGTTATTTATGTTTTGGAATACTCGTTAACAGTTTTTCAAAATAGCAGAAAATTTAAACAAGTTAAAAGGGCACTATTTTTACCAACACCATTTTAAATTTTAGAATTTACATTTCAGAAATGTGTATATACATACATATCGTCACCTAAAACGCAAACGGCCCTATTTAACATTTTTAAAATTTTACAGGAGAAGCAAAAAACTATTTAAATTGGAAAGTTTGTTTCTATCAGCGCGATTTATTTTTATAAAATAAACAAATTGTTTAATAGTTAAACCTATTATTTGTTATGATAATTGACATTGGCGTACATAAAAATGGATAAATTGGACTTTTTACCTTTAATATTTAAATGTTTTTGTAGATAGGGCCTTTTGCTAATTTTGGCCGGAGGAGTCTAATTTCTTTTGTGGACATTTGTTTTGATGCAGTACATTAGAATCTGCAATAAAATCGATTTTGGATTTTTGGTTAGTTAGGGCCGTTTGCGTTTCAAGTGACGATATATACTGTCTTATTCATAACAATTCATCAATGGTTTATGGAGCAAATTATGTTTTGAAAATTTGTCTTTTTTTTAATTTATACTTATGTAAACTCTACAATTTGAATATCATTGAGATATTTTCGCTCGTTTTAGGAGTTCGATGTGCTGCACATACTCTGCAATTAGCTGTTAATTGCGTTTTAAAAGAAAAACTAATGGAGAAGGTAACGTCGACCGTAAGAACCGTGGTTAAAAAACTTAGAACTCCTAATGTTGGCATTCTGTTGAAAAATGAGGGATTAAACAAACCGACAATTGATTGCGTAACACGTTGGTCTTCTACTTATGAAATGCTGGAATCAATTAACGGAAATAAAATAAAACAATTTTGCCAGGAAATGTCTCAAAAAAGTGATGACTTTTTTATTTCACAAGAAATGTGGAAGAGCATCTCAGATGCCGTTGATACGTTGCGACCCGCCAATATTGCCACTAAAACGTTGCAAATGGAGCAACTTACATTTGGCGATGCGTATGCCGCTTGGTGCAATTGCAAATTGCAATTGCAAAAAATTAAAACAAATTTTTCCAATAATTTAATAGAACATATGAAAAATAAGGAAAATATTTTATTTGAAAATGACGCGTTCATTGGTGCAATATTTATGGATCCACGCTGGAACGTGGTACTTAAAAACTCTTTAAAGGAACGTGCCATAGAACACGTTATTTCTGTAATAGATAAAATGAATAGTCTTACTCAGACCGATTGCATACTTGTAACCGATGGTGAAATGAATAATAGTTCATCGTCTATAGACAGTTTGGAAGCAATATTACAAAATATAGAAAAGGAAAATTATGGCAAAAATGCATCAATAAGAGAATTATTAAACGAATTTTCAAAAGAAAAAAGACTCTGTCTTCATGACAACGTTATTCAATGGTGGGAAGACAGAAGAGAAATAAAATCACAGCTGTACAATATTGCAATGGTTCTACTTGCCGTTCCAGCAACGCAAGTCAGTGTGGAACGTCTTTTTTCTGGTGTTAAATTTTTAATGAATCCAAGCCGAAATCGTCTGGATGAAGATAGTTTAAATGCAATAGTGGTGATACGCTCCAACAAGGACTTATTTTAACATGATAACTTTATATGTATTTCTTTATTTTAAATTAACACAAATATTTTACAGCATTCATAGCTCTATTAAACAACTTTATATTTAGACATTCCAATTTAAATTATATTTCTGAAATCCAATTGAATTTTTTTATAAATAAATTAGAATATGTATATGTATTTATAAATAAATACAAATTCGATAATTTGGTATTTGTTTTTGAAAATAATATTTTTGTTCTTTACTTTTCTAGGAAAAAATTCAATAAAATCGAAACTGAAAATGCCTTTAAAAAATACTTCTTCTTTCTCAATCTGTAGAGAAACTTAAAATCGGTTGAGAATCAACTAAGTTTCTGACTTATATGTGCTTAAAGGTACGAAACCCCGGTTTTATACGTATCTTAAGATTTTGCATGTGTTTGGCAAATTAAAAAAAAACAGATTCGTGTTCTACTCGGATCCACCTTTCAGAAAAATAGTATAGATATTTGTTTTGGTCGCATATTGTAATAATTGTTAAAAACGAAATCCATACAATTTTGAATTTAATTTATTTATTTCTGAACATTATTTTTTACTTTTAATTTATTAATTAATGAATTAAGGTTGTTATTTAATGTTTCTATATAAAAATTTAATTCCTCGTAAAACTGTTAAAATTATGAGCGCATTAGTAAATGCAGTTGCAAGAGTATTTTGTAATGCTACGAAATGTTGTGTAAATTTGCTCGACACTGTTTTTAAGTTAAACTTAAAAAAAATACGTAAAACAATAATACCAATGTTATTTTTGTTGTATTTAAAAGTTTGCTTATGCAGTGGATTTATGAACATATTTTTAATTATTTAAATCATATCGAAATTGCCGTCAAAATATCTTTTATGTACACTACCGATAACGCTAAAATATCAATACCGAAATAAGGCAAAATACCGATAACGCTAAAATACCAATACCGAAATAAGTCAAAATACCGATAACGCTAAAATAGCAATACCGAAATAAGCCACAATACCGATAACGCTAAAATACCAATACCGAAATAAGTCAAAATACCGATACCGCTACCTCATCACCGTTTCGAAACGGTAGCCAACCTTGATTAAACGATTAATATCAGACTTGTCTGCACATTGTCGAAAGGGAATTTCAGTGTTACGACAATTATGAGACTAATCTGCACATTGCACAGTGGGGCAGAATGGAAATTTTTTGGAAATAAATCTGGCATTTCTAAACGGCTGGTCCGATCGGGATAAAATTTGGCGCGAGCGTAGCCAAGGAGTATTCGAGTTTAAGTTTTAAAGATGAACCCTGCAGATGCCCCAGGGACGGCGCTGTGGCGGCTCAAAGTGGGGTACCTACGACATGTAAAATTTTTAAACTCGTGCCATTTTTTTGTTTTTCAACCAAATGCAAAGATTTTTATACTTTGTGAAAGCGCTCGGCGAGATCTTGAAAAAACATGCTTGGACATACTTATCTCTTATAATATCCGAGTTATAGGCATTTAAAAATTTTGTGATACAAAATTTACCATACCTTGGTCCGCCTTTTTTTGAATACCGGGCGTAATTTTGGACCAAATGATTTTTTCTTGTTAGTTAGACAACAAAATTTCCAATAATATACAAAAAATTAAAGATCAATATCATTTACAGATCCAAAAATATACGTTTTTTAATTTAAAAATTCAAAAAATTTTAGATTTTTGGCGTTTTTTTGCCAAAAATGTGTCTTAACTCTTTTATTAATAAAATAAAATTTTCTTTAAGAACATATAACAATTTTATAGTTTTCTAAAAGGTATCTTTACGCCGAACGCTTTGGCGTAAAAAACTTGTCCTATTTTTTGAAAATGTTGCCGCTGCGTCCTTCCGAATATGACCTATTTTTTATCAAAACTTCAACTTTGGGCGACATGTTCTAAAATCCCAAAGCTGGGATCAGAAAACTGAAAGCAGGTTTGGAAACCTCAATATGTTTTCTATTTACTCCAAAAGTATTTTCCCAGCCCTGAAAGAAATGTGGACCCTATGGGCAAAAAAGTAAAAAATCCCATTTTTGGGATTTTCATTCCTATTTTTGGGAATTGCGGGATGCCCTTTGACCTTTTCAATTTTTTTTTTGCATTTTCTTATTTGAAATGACAAATTTAACAAGCATTGAAAATTTCATTGAGTTTTGTTCATAAATAAAGATTTTGTCATATATTACATATTTGTTTAATTTCTAAAACTATGATTTATATCAAAATTTTAATAGGATCGCAGATAGCTACAACAATTTAGTCCATATTTATCCCTTAATATCATTTTTTAGTTAGATATGGAAATTCTCGACCCTTTACAAAAAATTTCAAGCCAATATCTCAATTACATTCAAAAATATGTTCATTTAAACCTGTGTCCTTTAATTTCATCTTTTTCATATTTTAGTATTAAATATGACAGAACATACATTTGGTGTTGAATAAAATATTTGGACAATTTTAAAAATTATTTAGTTAATTATTTTATTATAATATTGTATATACAATAAAAAAAATTATAATTTTATTATGAGCCACGCACAACAACACCTAAATCACCCCACACAAATTACCTTTCCCGACCACCGAAATATAAAACACAATTTAATACAATATCATCAGTTAGTATAATAGCTTTTTTTATTTGAACTGTTTATCTTAAACATAATACAATTAATTCTTACAACCTACTTATATAGTTAATTCCTAACACTACTTATTTTCTATAAAATAATCTGTCATATCGGTATACATATCCAGAAGGTAATATAAGTCCTTTAAATCTTCCTTGTTTTGAGATGATAGAGTTTCATAACAAATCCATCTTTTTCGCATAGTTGAAAGAACAGGATCAGAAGATAGAAGTAAACTATTAAAAATATCTTCATTCTGTGATTGCCTGGAGCATTTTCTTGAGCTGAATAGTTGAACATGCTTAAAATCTCGATTCCTCGCTTCCTGTGCTTCTTCTGTTAACTCTCCAAGTGGAAGAATATTCGATTCAATTATTATTTGACCATGACACAATACTTAGTGTACTGTTGGTGTTAGTTCCCTCCATGGATACAGAGATACAAGTAATTTAGAAATTTCAGATGTGTATTCCCCAAATCGATTTCCATTAATTTTATGTTTACTATTCAGTGCCATTAAAATAATGTTAACTCTTCGAAGCAACTCCTTGTCGATTCCAGTTATTTTTGAAGTAATTTCAAAATCACGAAAAAACCTTCTCGCCGTATTACCGTCATTTGTACTACCGCAACTTGAAAGTGGTTTGTCGATGTTTAATCCCATCTGAACTTTAAATTCTTCTTGGATTCTGCTTTTTTCCGCAGCTCTCAGTTCTTTCAATTCTTCATTATTTTTTTCATGATTTAGTAGTATAGTTTGTTTTTTTTTTTTCCTGGATCGCCTTGTATGATGGTAATATATTGTGTCCTTTTTCATGCAGAGCTTTCCTTAATATTTGGTACTTATTTCGACTGAGACCCAGTTCCAACATAAGCGCTATTGCTTCCTCTTCAGTAAAATTTGATTATGATGTTGGAGTTGGTATACTTTCCACAATTCGCTTAAGTCGTTTTGGTGATGCATTAGGAAGAATAGTTGCAATATGTACGACATCCATAGGTTGGTTTTCCTTTTTCAGCATTTCGTTAAATGTATCAGCAATTTCCTCATTTGAGATTGAAAAAAGTTTTTGTGTGACCCTCTTTTTTTTTACCTTGAACATAAGTCTTCGTATGACTTACAAGGCGCTCCTGTTGATGTGTTGTAAGTTGAGATTTCCGTAGTAGTTTCCATCCAACTACAAAATTTTAATCGAAATTTCTTTTGATTTCCATCCACAGACTTACTTTTTACATCAAAAAGTTTTCAATTTTTGATATGCCTGTTTTGTCTACTTTTCTACTATATGTAGTTTTTATATAATTTGAAATGTCTTAAATTCTTTCTGGCCCTTTTGAAGATATACTCCATAAAACGGAACACAACTTTTCGTACTTTAATGTAATCTTCATTGTAGATTTATTAAATATGGTACTTAAAATCTGAGAAGTTTACTTATATACCAATTCTTGTCATTTCCGATACAGGTATTCCAAAGTAAAAAATTACGAATTGTCTACCTATTAACATTTAGGACTATATTACTATAACCTGTAATTCAGTCATTGATATTTCTTATTAGTGAATGAATCGAAATTATCATTACCTGTATATTTTTACCTACATGATCATAAACGAAACAGAACGAAATGATCTGTCGAAAAAATTTAGGTAAAAAATAGTTATAAATTTTTGAAAATTTAAGCATAATAGGACCTTTCAATTATAAGGATAAGCAAACAAATAGAAAATAGGTAAATATAAGATTTAAATATGTTCTGTCATACTTAATACTAAAATATGAAAAAGATGAAATTAAAGGACACAGGTTTAAATGAACATATTTTTGAATGTAATTGAGATATTGGCTTGAAATTTTTTGTAAAGGGTCGAGAATTTCCATATCTAACTAAAAAATGATATTAAGGGATAAATATGGACTAAATTGTTGTAGCTATCTGCGATCCTAATTAAAATTTTGATATAAATCATAGTTTTAGAAATTAAACAAATATGTAATATATGACAAAATCTTTATTTATGAACAAAACTCAATGAAATTTTCAACGCTTGTTAAATTTGTCATTTCAAATAAGAATATGCAAAAAAAAAAATTGAAAAGGTCAAAGGGCATCCCGCAATTCCCAAAAATAGGAATGAAAATCCCAAAAATGGGATTTTTTACTTTTTTGCCCATAGGGTCCACATTTCTTTCAGGGCTGGGAAAATACTTTTGGAGTAAATAGAAAACATATTGAGGTTTCCAAAACTGCTTTCAGTTTTCTGATCCCAGCTTTGGGATTTTAGAACATGTCGCCCAAAGTTGAAGTTTTGATAAAAAATAGGTCATATTCGGAAGGACGCAGTTGCAACATTTTCAAAAAATAGGACAAGTTTTTTACGCCAAAGCGTTCTGC